TGTAGCAAGGCAGTAACATTCACAGCCAGCTTGTCACATTGCTGAATCTTACACTACCACTCATGAGTTTGGCATGCCTTTCAATTAATCACTTGGTAGAAGAATCTCTATGCTACTATTATAGATAAAAATGCTAAGTATTCATTTGCTTTTTATCAACAACAAAAATGTTACAAATTCTTGTTAATGAGCTATTAATGATATAAGAGTTTTATCTTAAAAAAATGTTAATTTCTCAATTCTCCATCTACAATGTTAATTACTTTTCATAAAAATGTACAGGACAGCCATATATGATTATCCTGATTACAATTTATTACAAAATTTTTATTCGTATTGGTAAATTAACAAATTAACAACATATGAACATCTTGTGACATGTAGTACGTGAAGGAAATAGTCAAGCTCTCTACATAATTTTCTAACATCTGTAAAATGATGCATTCAATTACAAATGACATTCTCTCTAAATTTTTCTATATCTGGAATGACTACATACACCAAAGCTTTAACATATCAACAAAGAAAAATATCTATGGTGCCCTAGTGACCTTGAAACCATGAAATATGCCCAACGCTGTGTATCCAACAGTTCAGAAATGTCTCGTCCAAAGTGAACACCCTATTATAGTATATAATGTTTAAAAATGTATTTTTATATACTGTAGTAATGTTTTCTTTTAACAAAAAATAATTTTTTATTGCTTCATATATATATTTTACAAATGATCTAACAATAATTGGATGAGATGATTTTTGAATTACTAACTTTCATAAACATATCGAAACATTGAATATCTGTTAATTATTATAAATTTACTTCCAGAGACAACTGTTGGACACTGGAGTGGGAAAGAAGATCGAGACAAACTTTTACACATGAACAACAGTGAATTTACCAAACACTGTACTGGCCATAGTTTCAATTTTATCATCCCATCTGGGATGACAAAACCGGATGCCTCAGAAAAGATATTTCACACAAAAAAGATTATGAGTTTATGTTGTCTTTGGTTTTGATGGGTAAAGAGGTGGTTAGCTAAAGCAGGATTAAAAACAACAAATCTTGTGGAATAAAAATTCTGTTTTAAAAAACAATCTGTTTATGTAAAAGGGTAGTTAGCTTAGAGTGGTCACATGGAAAGGTTTCATTGTATTGTGCTACCTCATACTTCAAGCAACTCTAACTTTGAATGCTTCATGAGTTCAAACTGCATACACAATGAAAACATTTATTCAAAGTGTAAACACTATCTGTTGTGTATCAAAGTCATCTTTCACTCTCAAGTCACACTCAATGTTTTTGGTAGTGCTGCCACCTTTTCAAAATCGTTGACCCAGATGGCAGATGAGGTTTGTTCAAACAGAAGTTCCTGACGCATGTGCAATGTCATTCTGCATTGCGAAGAATAACATGCAATGCATGCCGGTTCTAAATCAGTTACAGGGAGGGACTAGGGAGACTTGGGTGGGAGTAATGTAAGTAACTAAATTAAGAAAAAACAATTACAGATGACTTAGCTCTATTGGATATTGGAGACGTGTATGAATACAAATTGTACAAGAAAAAAAAAAAAATGGACAGTGAGTCGATTCCCGGACTGTCCAGGTGAAACCAGACAGGTGGTAACACTAGTTTTTGGGGCCTTCTTTGCTTTAATTTTAGTGCATTTGGTTATATAGATTGTGGGTTATAGGTGATTTTTAACAAAATCTTCCTACAATTCTTTTTTGTTGACAGCTTTTGAGCACCATGTACATTTTGTATCCTTTAGTTCAAAATTTCCAGAATGGAACTTAAAACCACATTTGACATGTTCAAAGTGTAGGTGCATCTTCCCCATACATATTATATATTACTATTTGTACAACATTATATCCTTTCTGAAACTCAAAGCAGAACATGTCTGATATGCTTTTGATCAGTAGAAATTTCAACTCTACTTTATTCAAATAAATGTGAATAAAAAGTTTAAAATAAGCTCTAAACAAAGAATACAATCTCACATTAGCAATAATAAGTTATAATTATAACAGTTGTGAAATTTATCATATGTCTGTGTTAAGTAGCAGCTGTCTAAAATATGGCAAAACTTTTTATTCAACCCAATATAACTTTTACTTATTAACCATTGCATCCTAGAGGCTTGAGGAAGCAAAAAAAGATCACAAGAAGAGTTGTAATATAAACAATTGAGGTGAAAACAACATTGTGAAGCATGAAAGTGTACTGTATTGTATATGTGTCCCAGATGGAAGTGTATAATCTACATGTGCAGACATATATACCATTGACTTTGTCATTTTATACAACTAGTAAATGCAATTTTCATTTTATTATACATTATTCATGTATTTTATTTATTTATTTTCACATTTTAATTTATTATTAGGTCATTTCAATGTGTTATTTTTACCTTAAATTATGTGTATTTGCTGTTTCAAGTTTCTCTATAGGTATTAACAATACCCATTTCAATAAACTAAAACAGCAGTTTAGGATCAAGAATGGATTAATTGACTTTCAATTATTTCTAATGGAAAAAATTAATTTGAATTTCAAATGATTCATGGAATGAATTAAATTCAAAGTAAAGACACCACTGTCTTTACTTTTAGAATTTAGATCAACTTTGAATTACTACATCCTAATACTCTTAAATTATAAACAGATAAAGAAGTGGATTTAATAGGAAGCAACATTATACTTTGGTTGCATTACTTGTTTCTTAAATAATAAACCTCCTTAAAATCCAACATATAAAAACATCCATGCTGAAGGAGAAATGGTTTGTTTTATCAGAGCATGGATTTAACCATGCTCTGACAAAACAACACTTTGTCAAACTCAAACAATCACAGTTTGACAAAGTGTTGTTGTTTTGCCAGAACATGGATTCAATTTCTACTTTCAGATGGATGTTTTCATATGTTCAAATTTAATATGAATATTTAGTACCTTAACAAACTTTAACAATCACAAAGTTTGTTAATATATTAAAATTATAAATTATAATGAAAACTTAACTGATTTTGGCAGTTCTTTAGGCAGAGAAAGACACACAAATCTAATTATGTAAAGCTGAAAAAAAAAAGGATTCTTTCTTTCTGTCACTGTATGCCAAAAATGGCCACTAGGGGCACCCTACCTATTATTTAAATTAACAATAAATTTAGTATATTATTATTTGATGCAGTTTTTTGCATTTTTAGCTGCATTTTAGTAGGTACACCATGAGAAATTCAGTATATTATTATTTTTATTTGTAATAGGAATTTAATGTTTATACCATAGAATGACACTGCTGCTGCTAAAACACCCACAAGTTCCCAGGCTACTAGAAGGATTAGAAGTACAAAATAATCTAATAATCTTAATCTTTGTTGTTGTTTTTTGCCCGGGCAACGCCAGGCTCATCTGCTGGTCAATTATAAAGTATTATTTTGTTTTTCAAGTTAGTTTATTGACTTTGGATATTTTTAAAGTTACTTCCCTAATAAACTAAATATAAACATCCCAAATGGAAATTTAGATACATTATATTACATCAATTTTTCAGAAATTTACATTACCATTTCTTTTATTTCTATCCATGTGTCAGAAATCAGAATTAAAAATTTGAGACCAGTTTAATATTAATATGCAAAATTCATACNTTGCCATGTGTCTTTGGAATAAAACACAATACTAGTGTTTACTACACCACAAAGGTAGCATTATTTTTGGAAGACCTTGTATATTCTCATATATGATTTACTATACTGTCATTCAGCAATAATGAATGTATTACAGTGGCACATGGTGACATTTGATGATAGGGAAACTGTGCCGGTCCTGGATAGAATCATTGGAAGCATTATACAATATTTTGGTGTGTAGCATCCACCAGCTAAACTGTGAGAGGTTAGAGCTCTGTAAAGTGCATGCGCAAATGCCTGTAATCTAGCTGCTTTACACAATTCAAATATTTTCACTATAGAAGCTGTTCCATATTCAACAATACAGCGTTTCCATTGGGAAGATTCATGAACGAATTTATATTCAAATATACAATAGCAATCTTATCATTTGCTCACATGTAGTATATAAATTTGTAATAAGATACATAATGCGATTATAAAAAATATTAATTTTAATTAATTCAAAGTATTTAAAATATGAAAATAATCGCACAATATGTATTTATATTTTAGAAAATACAAGGGAAGCTGTCCTTCCACAGCTTCCATGGGCGGCATGCCACTGATGTATTATAATCATAGCTGTATGGAAATATCTTGTCATAACAAATGTATATTAAATGCAAAATTATGAAATTATGTGAAACTTGGCACCATAATGTTTAATAAACAAGAACTGCTTAATCAAAGTTACCAAAATTACAAAGTGTTTTCAAGCAACTTCAACCTGTGGCACAAAAATGCTTTGGAATGATTTTGGTATCCTTAATCAAGCAGCTTTTATGTATCAAAATTTAGAGTTTTAACATAATTTCTAAACTTAAAAAGTAACTAACATATCCTGATATTATACATTGAATTCATCACTGCCAATTGGGCTGCAATTTGAAAAACTTGTAGACATAATTTCCCACTGTCATCATCCTTAATCTTGAGAACAGTGTTAGATAGATGAAAGTCAAGTCCAGATATGAAAAGCTTAGGTGCAGTAGGCCTCAATTAACTATACAAAGTGAGTTTTTATTTTTCCAAAATAATGAGATCCATTTAAGTTACTTCATTGTCTCAAGATAAAAAAAACTCACCCTGTATAAGTATTTCCAGTCTAGAGGGAAGTCAAGTGATTTCAATTCAAAATTTTTCCCCGAATGGAGTTAGATAGTTCACTGGCATGATACTGTTGTTATCAGGAAAAGTAAGATGTATGGGGCAAGACACTACTAATTTGTAACGAAGAACATATACAGTATTTTAAATTAAATAAATTAAGAAAATGATTAAAAATTGCAGCCTGGCATTGTGACAATGTCGCAAAAAATTCAATGCTCAATTATTATTCTATTTTTAGAAATAAGTTTCTCTAAATACATTTCTCTAATTTGCATTCAAAATTTTCCATTTATTAAAATTCTGTGTTTTGCAAAGATTTATTACAGTTTATTATTGTAAATTTACCTCCCAAGATATAAGTAAACCATTTTTTGTTATCCCAACTTTCTGGTTTTCTCCTATTGCCACAGTTGTTATTTCGGTATCAGACATAGGAAGAGGAAGAAGAAATGGAGTCAAAACACTGTCACCCCAACAATAGATTCGTGAGGAAGACATCTGAGACATATATTTTGCATTATGTGCAGAACAGTCTTATGAATAAAAATTATCAAAGAAAAATAATTAATTTGAAAACTTATATTTAATAATAAATAAAATAACAGTTTCTTTACCTAAATTATCTGTAACACTTCCAGCTTGTTTAATTGAATTTTGTTTAGAAGAATTATTTCTATAACAGAAATAATTAATACATTAGTAAAAGAAAATTAAATGAAATCCAGAGAAAAAACAAAAATGATTAAATTTACTTTCCAATACTTGATAAAGAACCAATTGTAACGTATAGACTAAAAATGGGAGTTATCATAATTGGATACGCCATTATTTGATTGATTGTTGGACGTTTATTTGGATCCGTGTCGAGCAGAGTCAGGAGAAGTTTCCGCAACTCTTTACTGTAGTGTTCGGCTACAGGAGCGAAAGAGCCGCGAATTATTTTCATCACAAGTGCGGGCAAATTCTGCAGACAAGAATCAAATAAATATACATTTTAATTAATAATTAATCTTACTAAATATAAATTACTAAAAATCTTCATATAATTACTCACGGTTGCTTCAAAAGGTCGTTTTAAAGTTAATAATTCATACAGAGTGCAACCAAGAGCCCAAATATCACTTTTTTGATTATATCTTGCTTTGGTCAAGATAAATGCATAATTATAGTAAATAGGACTAAATACCAGTTACAAATATTTTTATAGGAATTATTTAGAAATTGCAAATAACATTAAATTACTAATTTCATTTAATAAATTTATAATTATAAATCTAATAATATTTCTATTTATATGTTAAAGATACGGTTTTCCTTCACAGAGCTCAGGCGAAATATAACAAGGCGTTCCAACAACCTAAAATTTTGAAAAACATAATTCAAATATATCTTATTACAAATTAATTAGTAACATAAGGTCTGTTTTCATATTTATCTACACTTCTTGCAGGCCAGTTTATAACTTTTATATTATTGTTTTTGAACCATGATTTTGTAGATTTTGAGTTGTGTATAGGTGCATTGTCCTGCTGGAAAGTCCAATTTGAGCAACAATAATGGGTCAGCTTCTGCTAAATGATCACAGAGCATGTTTTGGTAATCCTCTGAATTCATTTTCTGGGCTATAAATGCTAATTCTGTTGTTCTGTTAGAGGCAAAACCATCCCATATCATCATTGATCCATGATTTAAAAATATCTCTTGCTGTTTTCTTAAATCATGTCAGTAATAGGCACAACAATCCGAGCCATACAGATTAAACTTCTTCTCATCACTAAACAGTATTTCAATCCATTCATTGCTCCAGCTCATGTATTTTCATTTATATGTTAAAGATACGGTTTTCCTTCACAGAGCTCGGGCGAAATATAACAAGGCGTTCCAACAACCTAAAATTTTGAAAAACATAATTCAAATATATCTTATTACAAATTAATTAGTAACATATAACATATTGATTTATAGCCCAATTATATCTTCCTTGTTTGTATTGATGTTAAGTACCTTTCTTTCTGTATTTTAGAATAGACAATTAACGCCAAGCCCTCTATATAATTATATGCATTCAAGGCAAGTCTATTTCCTTCTTTAATTTCCTATTGAGGAATTCCTATCAATTTTTTGGCATAACTCAACACTATTTGTCTACATGTCCAAGATATCAGTTTAGGTTTGGGTCCTGTCTTCCTTTTTAAAATGTCCTTTCTCTATCATCATGATTAATAATCACCTAAGTTAATTTTTGTCTGTTAATAAGTGCAACAATTTCCATTACTGATTTTCCTGCTGATTTATATAGATCAATTGGTCCCTGTTCATAAAGGAATAAAATTTTTGTTCTCCCCATATTTAAAACTGCAGTTCATACACAGATCCTTAGGATAGCTGCCTCTAATTTGCACATTACGTACATAATATTGTCATATTTTAGTTTAATTTGTGGAAAGTAGTAACTGTCTGGGTAAATTTGAAACAGTTTATTTTGATACATTTCTGTTTTTGATATTTGTAAAGCAAAAGTACTATATGTTTTTTTTTTTCTTAATCATTTATTATATTAAGTTAAACCTTAGTAAATAAATGTTTTGTGAGAACCTGGGCTAGTATTTTTGTAATTTCAATGATCTTAATCTTTATTTATTTATATTTTTGCATAAAAATTATATAAGATTATTTTATTTAGACTTGAACTGACAAATTCAACAGAGGAAGTTTGCAAGATTTTCCAACAATTAACATTTTTTTTGTGGATGACACATCCTCCCAATAAAAACTACTCATCAAATGAAATCTCACAAAAAAATTGGAGATTGGATTAACTGCCAATTATCTCACCAAATTGGAGCATCAGTATAGTGGGGGAGATCTCAAATAAAAAGAAAGGGAAAAGAAGGTCGGAGAGACTTTGCCTGCCCATTTTTGAAGTGTGTGCTCATAGCCACTGTGTTCCACTGCCAATCTTCCTGATTTTCATTGGACCTTAGCTGCAACAAACTACAAACAATCGTCATGGATATTACATTTTCCGGACGTTTGGATTCAAAACTCATCACACCTAAGCTTTCCCCTCTTCCAGATGTCCAATCAAACATTACAGATCCAAGTATTTATCAATCCACTTGTGCAATTGTAAACATTCTCTCTCAGATAGGAGTGCATAAATGTTTACTCTCTCCCTTCCCTCTATTTCCATTTTTCTTTGTAAATTTTACATTCTTAAAATAGAAATATTTATTGTTTTAGGGTTAAATGCATAATGGAATGCATCATTTGTGGTGTGCCATCTCTCAACTCCCTTTCCTGCCCCAAGCCCATTCATTCCCTCATATGTGACCAGTTGCGTGATAATTATTCAGAAAGTTCTCATGCACCTAAAGTCACAGATGGTGTTGGTCCTAACTTGGGCATTGCCAATGTAACAGTCACTGTTTTGTATAAATTGGATTTAAAAAATGCACCAATTTCATTATTAAGTTGGTATTGATAGGTTTTCAGATAAATATGAAACAGACCTTAAATATATAGTGTAAGTACAAGTAAATATAACTGTAATATGTAAATATTACAATTATATTTAGAAAATTAACAAATGCAATAAAAATTAATTTTGATCATTGTAAATCAGATATTACTACTAAGTACAAAATATTAGGTAATCAAAGGATGAACTCACAGGGTTCATCCTTTGATTACCTAATATTTTGTACTTAGTATTTTGTATCAAGAAGTATGAAGAAGTTGCTGCTATATGCCATCTATTTCTAAGTGTAGTGAAGTATTTGAATAACTAGAAATGTTTTATATTTCTGAACAGAGAATTTTACAGTGGACAATTATATGAAGGAAAATGATCAAACAATAAAGTGACACAGTTAATGTGAAAATATCCAAATCATCTATTTCTCCAAATATTTATGTTTAATAACTTTAATAAGCAGAAGTCCTTAGTGTCTATATGAGAAAAAAATTTTTTTCAAGATATATGGGAATGCTTAGAAGCAAATTCTACAATTATATGAAAAAGCTCAATTATTTTACAGTTCTTGTTTATATAAAACAAATCAGATTTTGGCATTATAAAATTAAGAGTAGAGCTTATTATTTATATAGAGTTTCAAATGTTATCTCTCAGGTCCTCACTAAATAAATATTCAAAATTTTAGTGTTTCTTATGATGTGTAGCAAGGCAGTAACATTCACAGCCAGCTTGTCACATTGCTGAATCTTACACTACCACTCATGAGTTTGGCATGCCTTTCAATTAATCACTTGGTAGAAGAATCTCTATGCTACTATTATAGATAAAAATGCTAAGTATTCATTTGCTTTTTATCAACAACAAAAATGTTACAAATTCTTGTTAATGAGCTATTAATGATATAAGAGTTTTATCTTAAAAAAATGTTAATTTCTCAATTCTCCATCTACAATGTTAATTACTTTTCATAAAAATGTACAGGACAGCCATATATGATTATCCTGATTACAATTTATTACAAAATTTTTATTCGTATTGGTAAATTAACAAATTAACAACATATGAACATCTTGTGACATGTAGTACGTGAAGGAAATAGTCAAGCTCTCTACATAATTTTCTAACATCTGTAAAATGATGCATTCAATTACAAATGACATTCTCTCTAAATTTTTCTATATCTGGAATGACTACATACACCAAAGCTTTAACATATCAACAAAGAAAAATATCTATGGTGCCCTAGTGACCTTGAAACCATGAAATATGCCCAACGCTGTGTATCCAACAGTTCAGAAATGTCTCGTCCAAAGTGAACACCCTATTATAGTATATAATGTTTAAAAATGTATTTTTATATACTGTAGTAATGTTTTCTTTTAACAAAAAATAATTTTTTATTGCTTCATATATATATTTTACAAATGATCTAACAATAATTGGATGAGATGATTTTTGAATTACTAACTTTCATAAACATATCGAAACATTGAATATCTGTTAATTATTATAAATTTACTTCCAGAGACAACTGTTGGACACTGGAGTGGGAAAGAAGATCGAGACAAACTTTTACACATGAACAACAGTGAATTTACCAAACACTGTACTGGCCATAGTTTCAATTTTATCATCCCATCTGGGATGACAAAACCGGATGCCTCAGAAAAGATATTTCACACAAAAAAGATTATGAGTTTATGTTGTCTTTGGTTTTGATGGGTAAAGAGGTGGTTAGCTAAAGCAGGATTAAAAACAACAAATCTTGTGGAATAAAAATTCTGTTTTAAAAAACAATCTGTTTATGTAAAAGGGTAGTTAGCTTAGAGTGGTCACATGGAAAGGTTTCATTGTATTGTGCTACCTCATACTTCAAGCAACTCTAACTTTGAATGCTTCATGAGTTCAAACTGCATACACAATGAAAACATTTATTCAAAGTGTAAACACTATCTGTTGTGTATCAAAGTCATCTTTCACTCTCAAGTCACACTCAATGTTTTTGGTAGTGCTGCCACCTTTTCAAAATCGTTGACCCAGATGGCAGATGAGGTTTGTTCAAACAGAAGTTCCTGACGCATGTGCAATGTCATTCTGCATTGCGAAGAATAACATGCAATGCATGCCGGTTCTAAATCAGTTACAGGGAGGGACTAGGGAGACTTGGGTGGGAGTAATGTAAGTAACTAAATTAAGAAAAAACAATTACAGATGACTTAGCTCTATTGGATATTGGAGACGTGTATGAATACAAATTGTACAAGAAAAAAAAAAAAATGGACAGTGAGTCGATTCCCGGACTGTCCAGGTGAAACCAGACAGGTGGTAACACTAGTTTTTGGGGCCTTCTTTGCTTTAATTTTAGTGCATTTGGTTATATAGATTGTGGGTTATAGGTGATTTTTAACAAAATCTTCCTACAATTCTTTTTTGTTGACAGCTTTTGAGCACCATGTACATTTTGTATCCTTTAGTTCAAAATTTCCAGAATGGAACTTAAAACCACATTTGACATGTTCAAAGTGTAGGTGCATCTTCCCCATACATATTATATATTACTATTTGTACAACATTATATCCTTTCTGAAACTCAAAGCAGAACATGTCTGATATGCTTTTGATCAGTAGAAATTTCAACTCTACTTTATTCAAATAAATGTGAATAAAAAGTTTAAAATAAGCTCTGAACAAAGAATACAATCTCACATTAGCAATAATAAGTTATAATTATAACAGTTGTGAAATTTATCATATGTCTGTGTTAAGTAGCAGCTGTCTAAAATATGGCAAAACTTTTTATTCAACCCAATATAACTTTTACTTATTAACCATTGCATCCTAGAGGCTTGAGGAAGCAAAAAAAGATCACAAGAAGAGTTGTAATATAAACAATTGAGGTGAAAACAACATTGTGAAGCATGAAAGTGTACTGTATTGTATATGTGTCCCAGATGGAAGTGTATAATCTACATGTGCAGACATATATACCATTGACTTTGTCATTTTATACAACTAGTAAATGCAATTTTCATTTTATTATACATTATTCATGTATTTTATTTATTTATTTTCACATTTTAATTTATTATTAGGTCATTTCAATGTGTTATTTTTACCTTAAATTATGTGTATTTGCTGTTTCAAGTTTCTCTATAGGTATTAACAATACCCATTTCAATAAACTAAAACAGCAGTTTAGGATCAAGAATGGATTAATTGACTTTCAATTATTTCTAATGGAAAAAATTAATTTGAATTTCAAATGATTCATGGAATGAATTAAATTCAAAGTAAAGACACCACTGTCTTTACTTTTAGAATTTAGATCAACTTTGAATTACTACATCCTAATACTCTTAAATTATAAACAGATAAAGAAGTGGATTTAATAGGAAGCAACATTATACTTTGGTTGCATTACTTGTTTCTTAAATAATAAACCTCCTTAAAATCCAACATATAAAAACATCCATGCTGAAGGAGAAATGGTTTGTTTTATCAGAGCATGGATTTAACCATGCTCTGACAAAACAACACTTTGTCAAACTCAAACAATCACAGTTTGACAAAGTGTTGTTGTTTTGCCAGAACATGGATTCAATTTCTACTTTCAGATGGATGTTTTCATATGTTCAAATTTAATATGAATATTTAGTACCTTAACAAACTTTAACAATCACAAAGTTTGTTAATATATTAAAATTATAAATTATAATGAAAACTTAACTGATTTTGGCAGTTCTTTAGGCAGAGAAAGACACACAAATCTAATTATGTAAAGCTGAAAAAAAAAAGGATTCTTTCTTTCTGTCACTGTATGCCAAAAATGGCCACTAGGGGCACCCTACCTATTATTTAAATTAACAATAAATTTAGTATATTATTATTTGATGCAGTTTTTTGCATTTTTAGCTGCATTTTAGTAGGTACACCATGAGAAATTCAGTATATTATTATTTTTATTTGTAATAGGAATTTAATGTTTATACCATAGAATGACACTGCTGCTGCTAAAACACCCACAAGTTCCCAGGCTACTAGAAGGATTAGAAGTACAAAATAATCTAATAATCTTAATCTTTGTTGTTGTTTTTTGCCCGGGCAACGCCAGGCTCATCTGCTGGTCAATTATAAAGTATTATTTTGTTTTTCAAGTTAGTTTATTGACTTTGGATATTTTTAAAGTTACTTCCCTAATAAACTAAATATAAACATCCCAAATGGAAATTTAGATACATTATATTACATCAATTTTTCAGAAATTTACATTACCATTTCTTTTATTTCTATCCATGTGTCAGAAATCAGAATTAAAAATTTGAGACCAGTTTAATATTAATATGCAAAATTCATACTAAAAAAATTAGTAAATATATATATATATATATATAACTTACTGTATAAGCTTTACTTTTGCTGCTCAAAATTTTTGATATTCCAAAATCACCTATTTTAATGACATTCTTTTTTTCACTTAAAAGAATATTATGAGATTTTAAATCTCTGTGAAGAATTTGTTGAGAATGGACGTGATGTAGAGCCAAAACTATTTGAGAGAAATAATATAAAACTTCCTGAAATTAAAGAAAATATAATAAATTATTTATTATAAAAACAAATATCATTAACAAATTCATTTTCTCTAACATTTTTTAGTTACTTATTGAAATATATTCTCAAGTTCATATGTTCTTATTTCCTTAAACCTGTGCCAGTTTCACAATCAGTTTGCCCCCTGTGAAACATTTTGGTACATCTCGCATGTTTTAATTGGGTAGGTGTATCAACTTAGTGAGTGAGAATTATCTTGTCACCTTCATAAATACAAACAGTGCAACTGCATTACAAATGAATGGTGGTACTGGTTGGATGGTCAAGGCAGTTAAAGCATCACCTGCCTGGAATTTAATTAGGTAATTAAAAAATCTTAGAAATTATTCTGAGATGCCTCATCCCTCACCACCCAGTTGCCCCATTGTGGGTCTGGTCAAACCCACAATGGGTCACACAAAAGGCCCTCTCTGTGTCCGTAGGGCAAATTAAATTTGAAAGAATAATACTTATAGTGACTTGTTATATGCAACTATTAGGAAGGAAAAAAATTATTTGATTATTCCGTGTTAACTGTTTTTTGCAGGTCCCCCTTTGTTGTGGCATCATTAAGCAATTGCTTGTGATACAAGAGATGAAACAAACACTATCACCAACCTTTCAATTATTGATCAGTTCTGTCCTGTCTAACTAAATTGAATTTGATAGCTCAAGTATGCATCAATAATTGAAAGGTTAGAAGCAATAATTGTTTTAGTTTCATTAGGAACAATTATGCACTGCCATGTAGTTAAAACAATACTACTATATACAGGGTTCTTACTCAAATCTTTGTTTTAAATTCCATGACTTTCCCTGAACAACTTTGTACAAATTGCCAACCTTTATGTCCATTATAGTACATCACATTGACAAAATAAAACAGCATATGACCTACTATGCAAATATGCTATTGCTTCTTCAATTTTTAAATTAGTTATTTTTTCTAATTGACAGTTACATAATTTTTATAATTGCTGAATAATTAAAATTAAAAATAAAATGTTTTATTAAATTAAAATTGTTTATCCTGTTATTAATCCACAACCATAAATCCATGTGGCTTTGAATAAAAATAAAGAGCCATTATTTATTATTCATTAACAAATCTTGCATAATCCATGTACAAATGTATGTATTTATTAAATTTATCTCTTAATAAATTTTCCAAACTTTATTATAAAATATTAATCAACTGGGAAAATAATGATAAATAATACCTTTTAAATTAAAATTATTTATCATTTTTTGTACTTTATAATTTTTTTTATCAGTTCATTAACATCTGTTGTAAAACTGAGAGTGTAAAAGGTAATTGTGAGAGATTCATAGAGTCAAAATATTTCAAAAAAATTTTTAATCGATGTTCGATTATTAAGAATATTACAGACTTTTCTCCAAAATTCACAATACTGCATAATTAATACATCTGTGTTAAAATTTACAAATGACAATTGATATTGCCATATATTATATTTGGGACTTAGTTTGATCCNTCATCCTTAATCTTGAGAACAGTGTTAGATAGATGAAAGTCAAGTCCAGATATGAAAAGCTTAGGTGCAGTAGGCCTCAATTAACTATACAAAGTGAGTTTTTATTTTTCCAAAATAATGAGATCCATTTAAGTTACTTCATTGTCTCAAGATAAAAAAAACTCACCCTGTATAAGTATTTCCAGTCTAGAGGGAAGTCAAGTGATTTCAATTCAAAATTTTTCCCCGAATGGAGTTAGATAGTTCACTGGCATGATACTGTTGTTATCAGGAAAAGTAAGATGTATGGGGCAAGACACTACTAATTTGTAACGAAGAACATATACAGTATTTTAAATTAAATAAATTAAGAAAATGATTAAAAATTGCAGCCTGGCATTGTGACAATGTCGCAAAAAATTCAATGCTCAATTATTATTCTATTTTTAGAAATAAGTTTCTCTAAATACATTTCTCTAATTTGCATTCAAAATTTTCCATTTATTAAAATTCTGTGTTTTGCAAAGATTTATTACAGTTTATTATTGTAAATTTACCTCCCAAGATATAAGTAAACCATTTTTTGTTATCCCAACTTTCTGGTTTTCTCCTATTGCCACAGTTGTTATTTCGGTATCAGACATAGGAAGAGGAAGAAGAAATGGAGTCAAAACACTGTCACCCCAACAATAGATTCGTGAGGAAGACATCTGAGACATATATTTTGCATTATGTGCAGAACAGTCTTATGAATAAAAATTATCAAAGAAAAATAATTAATTTGAAAACTTATATTTAATAATAAATAAAATAACAGTTTCTTTACCTAAATTATCTGTAACACTTCCAGCTTGTTTAATTGCATTTTGTTTAGAAGAATTATTTCTATAACAGAAATAATTAATACATTAGTAAAAGAAAATTAAATGAAATCCAGAGAAAAAACAAAAATGATTAAATTTACTTTCCAATACTTGATAAAGAACCAATTGTAACGTATAGACTAAAAATGGGAGTTATCATAATTGGATACGCCATTATTTGATTGATTGTTGGACGTTTATTTGGATCCGTGTCGAGCAGAGTCAGGAGAAGTTTCCGCAACTCTTTACTGTAGTGTTCGGCTACAGGAGCGAAAGAGCCGCGAATTATTTTCATCACAAGTGCGGGCAAATTCTGCAGACAAGAATCAAATAAATATATATTTTAATTAATAATTAATCTTACTAAATATAAATTACTAAAAATCTTCATATAATTACTCACGGTTGCTTCAAAAGGTCGTTTTAAAGTTAATAATTCATACAGAGTGCAACCAAGAGCCCAAATATCACTTTTTTGATTATATCTTGCTTTGGTCAAGATAAATGCATAATTATAGTAAATAGGACTAAATACCAGTTACAAATATTTTTATAGGAATTATTTAGAAATTGCAAATAACATTAAATTACTAATTTCATTTAATAAATTTATAATTATAAATCTAATAATATTTCTATTTATATGTTAAAGATACGGTTTTCCTTCACAGAGCTCGGGCGAAATATAACAAGGCGTTCCAACAACCTAAAATTTTGAAAAACATAATTCAAATATATCTTATTACAAATTAATTAGTAACATAAGGTCTGTTTTCATATTTATCTACACTTCTTGCAGGCCAGTTTATAACTTTTATATTATTGTTTTTGAACCATGATTTTGTAGATTTTGAGTTGTGTATAGGTGCATTGTCCTGCTGGAAAGTCCAATTTGAGCAACAATAATGGGTCAGCTTCTGCTAAATGATCACAGAGCATGTTTTGGTAATCCTCTGAATTCATTTTCTGGGCTATAAATGCTAATTCTGTTGTTCTGTTAGAGGCAAAACCATCCCATATCATCATTGATCCATGATTTAAAAATATCTCTTGCTGTTTTCTTAAATCATGTCAGTAATAGGCACAACAATCCGAGCCATACAGATTAAACTTCTTCTCATCACTAAACAGTATTTCAATCCATTCATTGCTCCAGCTCATGTATTTTCATTTATATGTTAAAGATACGGTTTTCCTTCACAGAGCTCGGGCGAAATATAACAAGGCGTTCCAACAACCTAAAATTTTGAAAAACATAATTCAAATATATCTTATTACAAATTAATTAGTAACATATAACATATTGATTTATAGCCCAATTATATCTTCCTTGTTTGTATTGATGTTAAGTACCTTTCTTTCTGTATTTTAGAATAGACAATTAACGCCAAGCCCTCTATATAATTATATGCATTCAAGGCAAGTCTATTTCCTTCTTTAATTTCCTATTGAGGAATTCCTATCAATTTTTTGGCATAACTCAACACTATTTGTCTACATGTCCAAGATATCAGTTTAGGTTTGGGTCCTGTCTTCCTTTTTAAAATGTCCTTTCTCTATCATCATGATTAATAATCACCTAAGTTAATTTTTGTCTGTTAATAAGTGCAACAATTTCCATTACTGATTTTCCTGCTGATTTATATAGATCAATTGGTCCCTGTTCATAAAGGAATAAAATTTTTGTTCTCCCCATATTTAAAACTGCAGTTCATACACAGATCCTTAGGATAGCTGCCTCTAATTTGCACATTACGTACATAATATTGTCATATTTTAGTTTAATTTGTGGAAAGTAGTAACTGTCTGGGTAAATTTGAAACAGTTTATTTTGATACATTTCTGTTTTTGATATTTGTAAAGCAAAAGTACTATATGTTTTTTTTTTTCTTAATCATTTATTATATTAAGTTAAACCTTAGTAAATAAATGTTTTGTGAGAACCTGGGCTAGTATTTTTGTAATTTCAATGATCTTAATCTTTATTTATTTATATTTTTGCATAAAAATTATATAAGATTATTTTATTTAGACTTGAACTGACAAATTCAACAGAGGAAGTTTGCAAGATTTTCCAACAATTAACATTTTTTTTGTGGATGACACATCCTCCAAATAAAAACTACTCATCAAATGAAATCTCACAAAAAAATTGGAGATTGGATTAACTGCCAATTATCTCACCAAATTGGAGCATCAGTATAGTGGGGGAGATCTCAAATAAAAAGAAAGGGAAAAGAAGGTCGGAGAGACTTTGCCTGCCCATTTTTGAAGTGTGTGCTCATAGCCACTGTGTTCCACTGCCAATCTTCCTGATTTTCATTGGACCTTAGCTGCAACAAACTACAAACAATCGTCATGGATATTACATTTTCCGGACGTTTGGATTCAAAACTCATCACACCTAAGCTTTCCCCTCTTCCAGATGTCCAATCAAACATTACAGATCCAAGTATTTATCAATCCACTTGTGCAATTGTAAACATTCTCTCTCAGATAGGAGTGCATAAATGTTTACTCTCTCCCTTCCCTCTATTTCCATTTTTCTTTGTAAATTTTACATTCTTAAAATAGAAATATTTATTGTTTTAGGGTTAAATGCATAATGGAATGCATCATTTGTGGTGTGCCATCTCTCAACTCCCTTTCCTGCCCCAAGCCCATTCATTCCCTCATATGTGACCAGTTGCGTGATAATTATTCAGAAAGTTCTCATGCACCTAAAGTCACAGATGGTGTTGGTCCTAACTTGGGCATTGCCAATGTAACAGTCACTGTTTTGTATAAATTGGATTTAAAAAATGCACCAATTTCATTATTAAGTTGGTATTGATAGGTTTTCAGATAAATATGAAACAGACCTTAAATATATAGTGTAAGTACAAGTAAATATAACTGTAATATGTAAATATTACAATTATATTTAGAAAATTAACAAATGCAATAAAAATTAATTTTGATCATTGTAAATCAGATATTACTACTAAGTACAAAATATTAGGTAATCAAAGGATGAACTCACAGGGTTCATCCTTTGATTACCTAATATTTTGTACTTAGTATTTTGTATCAAGAAGTATGAAGAAGTTGCTGCTATATGCCATCTATTTCTAAGTGTAGTGAAGTATTTGAATAACTAGAAATGTTTTATATTTCTGAACAGAGAATTTTACAGTGGACAATTATATGAAGGAAAATGATCAAACAATAAAGTGACACAGTTAATGTGAAAATATCCAAATCATCTATTTCTCCAAATATTTATGTTTAATAACTTTAATAAGCAGAAGTCCTTAGTGTCTATATGAGAAAAAAATTTTTTTCAAGATATACGGGAATGCTTAGAAGCAAATTCTACAATTATATGAAAAAGCTCAATTATTTTACAGTTCTTGTTTATATAAAACAAATCAGATTTTGGCATTATAAAATTAAGAGTAGAGCTTATTATTTATATAGAGTTTCAAATGTTATCTCTCAGGTCCTCACTAAATAAATATTCAAAATTTTAGTGTTTCTTATGATGTGTAGCAAGGCAGTAACATTCACAGCCAGCTTGTCACATTGCTGAATCTTACACTACCACTCATGAGTTTGGCATGCCTTTCAATTAATCACTTGGTAGAAGAATCTCTATGCTACTATTATAGATAAAAATGCTAAGTATTCATTTGCTTTTTATCAACAACAAAAATGTTACAAATTCTTGTTAATGAGCTATTAATGATATAAGAGTTTTATCTTAAAAAAATGTTAATTTCTCAATTCTCCATCTACAATGTTAATTACTTTTCATAAAAATGTACAGGACAGCCATATATGATTATCCTGATTACAATTTATTACAAAATTTTTATTCGTATTGGTAAATTAACAAATTAACAACATATGAACATCTTGTGACATGTAGTACGTGAAGGAAATAGTCAAGCTCTCTACATAATTTTCTAACATCTGTAAAATGATGCATTCAATTACAAATGACATTCTCTCTAAATTTTTCTATATCTGGAATGACTACATACACCAAAGCTTTAACATATCAACAAAGAAAAATATCTATGGTGCCCTAGTGACCTTGAAACCATGAAATATGCCCAACGCTGTGTATCCAACAGTTCAGAAATGTCTCGTCCAAAGTGAACACCCTATTATAGTATATAATGTTTAAAAATGTATTTTTATATACTGTAGTAATGTTTTCTTTTAACAAAAAATAATTTTTTATTGCTTCATATATATATTTTACAAATGATCTAACAATAATTGGATGAGATGATTTTTGAATTACTAACTTTCATAAACATATCGAAACATTGAATATCTGTTAATTATTATAAATTTACTTCCAGAGACAACTGTTGGACACTGGAGTGGGAAAGAAGATCGAGACAAACTTTTACACATGAACAACAGTGAATTTACCAAACACTGTACTGGCCATAGTTTCAATTTTATCATCCCATCTGGGATGACAAAACCGGATGCCTCAGAAAAGATATTTCACACAAAAAAGATTATGAGTTTATGTTGTCTTTGGTTTTGATGGGTAAAGAGGTGGTTAGCTAAAGCAGGATTAAAAACAACAAATCTTGTGGAATAAAAATTCTGTTTTAAAAAACAATCTGTTTATGTAAAAGGGTAGTTAGCTTAGAGTGGTCACATGGAAAGGTTTCATTGTATTGTGCTACCTCATACTTCAAGCAACTCTAACTTTGAATGCTTCATGAGTTCAAACTGCATACACAATGAAAACATTTATTCAAAGTGTAAACACTATCTGTTGTGTATCAAAGTCATCTTTCACTCTCAAGTCACACTCAATGTTTTTGGTAGTGCTGCCACCTTTTCAAAATCGTTGACCCAGATGGCAGATGAGGTTTGTTCAAACAGAAGTTCCTGACGCATGTGCAATGTCATTCTGCATTGCGAAGAATAACATGCAATGCATGCCGGTTCTAAATCAGTTACAGGGAGGGACTAGGGAGACTTGGGTGGGAGTAATGTAAGTAACTAAATTAAGAAAAAACAATTACAGATGACTTAGCTCTATTGGATATTGGAGACGTGTATGAATACAAATTGTACAAGAAAAAAAAAAAAATGGACAGTGAGTCGATTCCCGGACTGTCCAGGTGAAACCAGACAGGTGGTAACACTAGTTTTTGGGGCCTTCTTTGCTTTAATTTTAGTGCATTTGGTTATATAGATTGTGGGTTATAGGTGATTTTTAACAAAATCTTCCTACAATTCTTTTTTGTTGACAGCTTTTGAGCACCATGTACATTTTGTATCCTTTAGTTCAAAATTTCCAGAATGGAACTTAAAACCACATTTGACATGTTCAAAGTGTAGGTGCATCTTCCCCATACATATTATATATTACTATTTGTACAACATTATATCCTTTCTGAAACTCAAAGCAGAACATGTCTGATATGCTTTTGATCAGTAGAAATTTCAACTCTACTTTATTCAAATAAATGTGAATAAAAAGTTTAAAATAAGCTCTGAACAAAGAATACAATCTCACATTAGCAATAATAAGTTATAATTATAACAGTTGTGAAATTTATCATATGTCTGTGTTAAGTAGCAGCTGTCTAAAATATGGCAAAACTTTTTATTCAACCCAATATAACTTTTACTTATTAACCATTGCATCCTAGAGGCTTGAGGAAGCAAAAAAAGATCACAAGAAGAGTTGTAATATAAACAATTGAGGTGAAAACAACATTGTGAAGCATGAAAGTGTACTGTATTGTATATGTGTCCCAGATGGAAGTGTATAATCTACATGTGCAGACATATATACCATTGACTTTGTCATTTTATACAACTAGTAAATGCAATTTTCATTTTATTATACATTATTCATGTATTTTATTTATTTATTTTCACATTTTAATTTATTATTAGGTCATTTCAATGTGTTATTTTTACCTTAAATTATGTGTATTTGCTGTTTCAAGTTTCTCTATAGGTATTAACAATACCCATTTCAATAAACTAAAACAGCAGTTTAGGATCAAGAATGGATTAATTGACTTTCAATTATTTCTAATGGAAAAAATTAATTTGAATTTCAAATGATTCATGGAATGAATTAAATTCAAAGTAAAGACACCACTGTCTTTACTTTTAGAATTTAGATCAACTTTGAATTACTACATCCTAATACTCTTAAATTATAAACAGATAAAGAAGTGGATTTAATAGGAAGCAACATTATACTTTGGTTGCATTACTTGTTTCTTAAATAATAAACCTCCTTAAAATCCAACATATAAAAACATCCATGCTGAAGGAGAAATGGTTTGTTTTATCAGAGCATGGATTTAACCATGCTCTGACAAAACAACACTTTGTCAAACTCAAACAATCACAGTTTGACAAAGTGTTGTTGTTTTGCCAGAACATGGATTCAATTTCTACTTTCAGATGGATGTTTTCATATGTTCAAATTTAATATGAATATTTAGTACCTTAACAAACTTTAACAATCACAAAGTTTGTTAATATATTAAAATTATAAATTATAATGAAAACTTAACTGATTTTGGCAGTTCTTTAGGCAGAGAAAGACACACAAATCTAATTATGTAAAGCTGAAAAAAAAAAGGATTCTTTCTTTCTGTCACTGTATGCCAAAAATGGCCACTAGGGGCACCCTACCTATTATTTAAATTAACAATAAATTTAGTATATTATTATTTGATGCAGTTTTTTGCATTTTTAGCTGCATTTTAGTAGGTACACCATGAGAAATTCAGTATATTATTATTTTTATTTGTAATAGGAATTTAATGTTTATACCATAGAATGACACTGCTGCTGCTAAAACACCCACAAGTTCCCAGGCTACTAGAAGGATTAGAAGTACAAAATAATCTAATAATCTTAATCTTTGTTGTTGTTTTTTGCCCGGGCAACGCCAGGCTCATCTGCTGGTCAATTATAAAGTATTATTTTGTTTTTCAAGTTAGTTTATTGACTTTGGATATTTTTAAAGTTACTTCCCTAATAAACTAAATATAAACATCCCAAATGGAAATTTAGATACATTATATTACATCAATTTTTCAGAAATTTACATTACCATTTCTTTTATTTCTATCCATGTGTCAGAAATCAGAATTAAAAATTTGAGACCAGTTTAATATTAATATGCAAAATTCATACTAAAAAAATTAGTAAATATATATATATATATATATAACTTACTGTATAAGCTTTACTTTTGCTGCTCAAAATTTTTGATATTCCAAAATCACCTATTTTAATGACATTCTTTTTTTCACTTAAAAGAATATTATGAGATTTTAAATCTCTGTGAAGAATTTGTTGAGAATGGACGTGATGTAGAGCCAAAACTATTTGAGAGAAATAATATAAAACTTCCTGAAATTAAAGAAAATATAATAAATTATTTATTATAAAAACAAATATCATTAACAAATTCATTTTCTCTAACATTTTTTAGTTACTTATTGAAATATATTCTCAAGTTCATATGTTCTTATTTCCTTAAACCTGTGCCAGTTTCACAATCAGTTTGCCCCCTGTGAAACATTTTGGTACATCTCGCATGTTTTAATTGGGTAGGTGTATCAACTTAGTGAGTGAGAATTATCTTGTCACCTTCATAAATACAAACAGTGCAACTGCATTACAAATGAATGGTGGTACTGGTTGGATGGTCAAGGCAGTTAAAGCATCACCTGCCTGGAATTTAATTAGGTAATTAAAAAATCTTAGAAATTATTCTGAGATGCCTCATCCCTCACCACCCAGTTGCCCCATTGTGGGTCTGGTCAAACCCACAATGGGTCACACAAAAGGCCCTCTCTGTGTCCGTAGGGCAAATTAAATTTGAAAGAATAATACTTATAGTGACTTGTTATATGCAACTATTAGGAAGGAAAAAAATTATTTGATTATTCCGTGTTAACTGTTTTTTGCAGGTCCCCCTTTGTTGTGGCATCATTAAGCAATTGCTTGTGATACAAGAGATGAAACAAACACTATCACCAACCTTTCAATTATTGATCAGTTCTGTCCTGTCTAACTAAATTGAATTTGATAGCTCAAGTATGCATCAATAATTGAAAGGTTAGAAGCAATAATTGTTTTAGTTTCATTAGGAACAATTATGCACTGCCATGTAGTTAAAACAATACTACTATATACAGGGTTCTTACTCAAATCTTTGTTTTAAATTCCATGACTTTCCCTGAACAACTTTGTACAAATTGCCAACCTTTATGTCCATTATAGTACATCACATTGACAAAATAAAACAGCATATGACCTACTATGCAAATATGCTATTGCTTCTTCAATTTTTAAATTAGTTATTTTTTCTAATTGACAGTTACATAATTTTTATAATTGCTGAATAATTAAAATTAAAAATAAAATGTTTTATTAAATTAAAATTGTTTATCCTGTTATTAATCCACAACCATAAATCCATGTGGCTTTGAATAAAAATAAAGAGCCATTATTTATTATTCATTAACAAATCTTGCATAATCCATGTACAAATGTATGTATTTATTAAATTTATCTCTTAATAAATTTTCCAAACTTTATTATAAAATATTAATCAACTGGGAAAATAATGATAAATAATACCTTTTAAATTAAAATTATTTATCATTTTTTGTACTTTATAATTTTTTTTATCAGTTCATTAACATCTGTTGTAAAACTGAGAGTGTAAAAGGTAATTGTGAGAGATTCATAGAGTCAAAATATTTCAAAAAAATTTTTAATTGATGTTCGATTATTAAGAATATTACAGACTTTTCTCCAAAATTCACAATACTGCATAATTAATACATCTGTGTTAAAATTTACAAATGACAATTGATATTGCCATATATTATATTTGGGACTTAGTTTGATCCCCTGGCATTTTGCAATGCGCTCTCAGAGAGGAGAGCATTGCAAAATGCATTTTATAATTCTTCACATAAATGATATTAGTTTTTAAAATTAATTTGCACTATCAGCAAAAAGAAGTAAATGTATGTAATACAGTAGAGCCTCGATTATCCGACTCAATTGGGGACTGGGGTTGATCGGATAACTGAAAAAACAGATAACCGAAAAATATGAAAAAATACATTATTAGTATAGTATATTAGTATATCCCATGTAATTAGTATATTAGTATATCGATATTAACCTACTTTGCGTTGAATTTTCATCAATGTTAAGCATAACAAAAATTTTTTAAAATAATAATCGTCGTTATTGTATCATTAAAAATTAGAAAGTTAAGCCTCATTTAAATCCTGGCCCCCTTTCATGGTCGAGCCAGTGTTGCCAGCTAAAACACGTAAATATAATGTTAAAGTAGCCAAGACATAGCCAAATATTGTAGCGCCACATCACTAGCGGACATTTGAATTTGCCGACTAGAACGGTCGGTTAACCGATGTGACGGTTGATTGAGGGTGGTCGGATAATCGATGCTCTACTGTAATTACATAAACATTAAACAAAATAAAAAAAAATAAAAAAAAAACACAAAGTGATTACAATTTATAAGGTCTGATTTTGATTGATTTTAAAATACAATCTTACAATGCAATAGAATAATAAGTAAAAAAAATGTAAAAATTAAAATTAAATTTTGACTGATGGAATGTATTTTGATAAATAAAATATAAATATAAAATATGTCAAAGCTACAAAATTGTCTTTGTGTTCTGTTTAACAATAGAACACATTAACATTAACAGGGTTCTGACATAAAATTATGTTAAGAACTGTTTTATGGATATTTTATGTCTATATTGATATATTCATTTATAAAAATTTGTTACAGAAAGTTACTGTAAACCTGCCAAAGAAGAACCATCAGTACAACACAAAAACACAAGTACACAAAACAAAAACAGAGTGTACACGTGAAAATAAAGATATTTTGTTTTGATTTTTCTGACTGAGTTCTCTATTTGCTATAGGAAACTACACTAGTGTAATAAGTCCTATTAATACACAAAGTCCAAAGTAGACAAGGATAAAAACAGAAATCAATAAAAGTACATAGAGGTAAAAAAAGAATGAACATGAAGACAATTTTGTAGCTTCAATATACTTTTTTTATTTATAATTTGATGTAAAAATTAAAATTAACTCATTTGATATGGTTTGCAAAGTTTAACAAACTGGTTAAGAATTTGGTCTTTAGGTATAGTAACAAAAAAAATTGATGAATAGCACTTGTGTATTCTACAAATTTCTATTATACATACCTCACACAATATGCCAACATTTCACTGTAATGGTTTTAATATTCTTATTATCAACAGTACATCTTTGTTTAAATTGTAAAAGAAAAACTTCTTCCAGTTTTTAAAAAACTGTATTAATTACATGTCTTTAAGAACAAAATACCCCAATGGCATGCATTAACCTAGTGTTTCTCAAACTTCACTTTCTGGTAGACCTGGTTAATAAATTTTAATGTGCCATTTATCTAATTTGCATAGTTTCCTATCAATATATTTGCCTAGACCACAGGGATCTGTGGATCACACATTGTCAAGAAAATCTGCTATTCGAACTACCTCTATCACCTGGACAAGAAAATTTCTACTATTTGGCACCACACAATGTGCAAAATTTTCAGTGATTTTGGATAATGCTTTCAATGATATCAAATAAAGAAGTTAAGTATCTGAGTGGATAGATGTATGGGAGAAGGCAATGCAACACCTGGAAATCTTGCAGGAGGGATGGCACTGAATTCAATTTTATTTCTATAAATCAACATATTGCATTAAGTTTATAATTGTATATTCTATCCTATGATGATGAAAACATGTGCTTAAATTAAAACATTCTTTTAATCTAAAATATTTATTAACTTATCAGTTTAGTGTTGCAGGGAAAATTGTATGATAAGCCTACTTACTTGTATATGATTTAATTTGAATTTTCCAAACTATGTACTAGTAATTATTAATTGGCTTATAAATTATGGTTTTATTTTGTATGCAATAATTTTTGGGGAAATTTGGGTCCTGAAAATATTCTGCATGCCTTTTCATAAGCTACATTGTACTACATTACTTCTTGCTGTCTGCAGATGGTATACTTGGTCTACTTTATTGTGAACTTGCTTACCCGTCGCGCATTGCTGCGATCTCAGAAGAAAGGAAATTCAAGCAAACTCGTTATGATAAAATTCAATTTACATTTTATTATTTTTATTGAAACTTATTATTATTATTCATTTTCATCGGGAAAACATTTCAAAGTGTCGTTTCAATTCTATTTATTTATTGGAGTGCTTGTGGATACACGATATTTTTTGTTTTTCCGTCTGGTGCGTACACGAATAAATCGGAAGGTTTTCCGACGCGTGAGCCGGCCACATACAGTTGTCCATGCGAGAAGCACGGATTCTCCAAATTTAGCCCACACACTTGCAGCGATTGTCAGAAGTGCGATATTCCCCATTTTTATATATTTTTTTTAATCCTTTATAATTTTAATTATTTAATTGCTCCTTCCTCTCTTCCTTGGCATGTTGTGAAATTTCTGATAGTTGGATAATAAACCGTTTTATTGTAATTTGTCTTTTTAAATTATTTTGAGTCGATATTAAAATTTGGAAAAGGGGGATACCTAGATCGGTAAAATACGCGAATTTCTTCCTACAACTTCGGTTGTTGTTCGGGGTACAGTTAAGGTTTTAACGAAGTTCGAGCGAATACATAATTAGCAAAAAAAAGTTGAAATAAAGTGATTAAACAAAAATTATTACAAATATCGTAAATAACAGTTCACAAATGCATATATAGAGATATTTTTTGAAATAGGGGGAAATGGTCTTCACAATTTGAAATCGATCGAACACACTGTCTCGATACACTCGTATAAACGCGCGCCATCTATCGTGGGTTAAATGTATTATGCCAGAAACCTTCGCGGGAGTGTATTAAAAAACTTTCCTAAGTTTTATGGCAATCGTACTATGCCACAAACCTGCGTGAGAGTATATTAAACAACTTCCCAAAGTTTCATGGCAATCGGATAAACGGTGTGGTAATGCATGAAGGACATAAGACAGACACACAGACACACACACAGACATACATTCATTTTTATATATATAGATAAAAAGAATCAACAAGGTAGCCAAGGAGACAAAGTCCCTGACTTTTTCCAAACACTAATAAAAATCCCTGACTTTCCAGGACTTTTTCTTCTTCAATTTAATCAAAATAACTATATTTTGATTAAAGTATTAAAAAATTGCTTATTTTCAACAATTTCACACAAGTGGAAATTACAATAATATAAATTGTTCATTCTGAAACTTCAAAAAAATTTGATTCCAAATTCTTTGAGAGAATATTTCATATTCATTCAAATGTTTT